CCGTGTTAGTTGGTAGGAAAGCGCATGGCGTGCCGTATACCGTCGGATGTTGATAGCCCCCTCATGAGCGGTTAGGAATGAGTAGGCGCCTGAGTATTTGTGTTCCGCTAGCGGACAGGCGCTGTAATACCGTGACAGAGGACGTTCATTGTCTTTCTCGGTCCGTGTTGCGTATACGATGATCAATGAATCAGAGGATCCCTTGCAGGGTAACCTTGTTCGTAACGTGGATGTGACTGAACAGGAAGTAGCAGTATACGGTGGTGTTCTTTTTCTGCCGACTCCTACGACGAGGTATGGTGGTTCTTTACTCGACCTCGCTTCTAAGTATAAAGACTGGTCTGTTTACGTGTGGTTGTGCACTGGTGTGGTCAGTTACAGCACCAAACGCAAACTTGTGAGGTTGTAAATGCACTTTGTCGAACGATTCCACTGCCCTGCTCTTTCTTCTTTCATTGCAAACAATTGAAATCAGCACTAGCTGACTCAAGAAGTAACGGCTTTCTTTGTTTCTATTATTTTGGGTGGTGTAATAGAGACAAACTGAGTTCTTCATTTATTGATGTGACCTAATTTAGCATATATCGCAATAAAGCTAGCTGAAATTCAGAACAGCAAATTTTTTTTGATTCACAGCATTTTGGAAATTTTAAATATATATTGATAGATTTATAGATATAACAACTTCGAAGACGCTAGAGCTAGTTTGGCTTTACTTCTCGGCGGGCGCTTTAAGCGTGCCGCAATAGTGATTGCTGAGGTTCAATGTCCTAAATCCATCGTATGAATATGAGAGACGCCGTAGTGGAGGGGTTCGGAAATTTCAACCACGTGGGGTTTTTTAACATGCAACTAAATTTATCACATGGGCCTCAAGCATTTTCACCTCTATCGAAAGAGCTGCCGCCGCTGTTTGGATTTGACGTGCGGATTAGCAACCGAGTGCCTTAGGGCCGTTCTACGCGCTTCCCGCACAGCCGCAACGCACGTGCTGGTACCTCAACCACATGCAAGTGGGGGACAAATAAGCCAATTGGCGACGCTCTTTCACCCTCTGCAGCGTCGCCCATTGGGTTATTTGTCCTCCACTTGCGTGTGGTTGAGGTTCCGGCACGTGCGTTGCGGCTGTGCGGGAAGCGCGTAGAACGGCCCTTAGCCACTAAACTACCGTTACGGGTCGCCGGACCGTGCGGAAAAGAATATCTGTGCACCTGTAAATCAACGTCTTTCAAACAGTCTGGTAATGGCTGCTGCAAAATTCAGTACGCGCTACTGCGTAGCTGCTCAAGCTGTTGATGGATTTGTTGGTAATGATCATTTATTATTTCTGTGTGCTCTGTAATTGAAAGTCCTTTACACGAGCCACTGGTCGCGAAACTCACTTGTTTTGACGCCTGCTGTTATTCTACGCTTTTGCCAGGCAAATGATGTGTTTTAATGACACTCGTCACACTAAATAACGTTAATATGTAGTTTTTCTTCTTTCGGAAAACTTTCGAGCATGATCTTGGCTTTGCGGCAGAACACCTTCTATCCACGCAGAAGTCTCGGTTTCATTTCCTCTCGAAACTGAAATTCTTTTATTGTTTCTTTATTTCCATCTATTTCGAATTCTCGCAGATTTCTTGCTCGCAACGAACGGCTCCTACACCGGAATATCTGAGAAGTAAGGGCTTTAACACTGTCGCCTTGAGAAGGTCTGCTGCCACCGATTAGCAAAGTAGCTATAAGTGCCTACTCTTGTCAACTTCACCATATAACGTTCCTTTCTCGAACAATTTTACCTATCATGGTCCTCACAGACACTTTACCGTCATGGAGTAGCAAGCTAGAGGCCCTTCTCTCAGGTTGTCGTCACCATCCAGCCACTAATCTCTCCCCCTGGCTTCCCTAGCTAGTAAAGAGTGAATTGGGAATTTTTCGAATATTATGTACATTCGGTGAACTACTATGTTGAAGCTCTCATGCAAAAGCCCAACAAGTTGTACGTGATTTGTTGCAAAGCTTGTTCATGTCATTTACTTTCGACGCGATGTTTCATCATACATTTTATTAAAAAGTGTAGCGTGCAGGAGAAAGTGCCGTATGGTGACGCATCATGTGTAGGGAATCTGTAAGTGCGTAGAATTGAAAATAGCCGCAGGAATGGCCAGAAAGAATATCTGTAAGTTTAGGCCGTTGCTTTAATTTCTGTAGAATTAGCGGCTTGGTGGAGATTCGCTACCTATTCTATTTTTAAACATTGTATCCAGGTTGATGTCCTTTGTCGCTGTGTAACCGCTTGCGCAAGTATGTAGGTATGCCAAACCAAAGCACTGCTCAAACTCCTAATGGGTATCACGACCACTGATATTACTTGGTTGCACAAGCACGTCGTGTAGTCAAAGTGTCACACCCATCTCTCAAGCAGGCACTAGCCCTCAAGAGACACAACCCTAAACAATGTAAAACTAATATCTGAGTTGTAAGATTGAGAGGGGGCCTTCCGGTACACAACCTGCGTGAGAAGCAGTGTAGATTGGGTGGAGAGTAAAAAAAAAAAAGCTTAGTCACGAGAACAACAACAAAAGATTTTTTCGTGTTGTAATAACACTCGATAAGAACTCTCCAGGGTGCTGATAAAACAGCTCGAGAGTCTCTCAAAACTCAGTTGAGCGTGGAATCTTTCGGCGCTCTCATCGGGGATTTGCCCGAGCGTGCGCGCTTGGGGACAAGCCATCGTGCGAAGCGAGTCCGACGAAGCGGACCGCGGCCACATCCTTCGTGCTGTCACCGCGACATAAAAATTGCCCCAGGCACTGAGCGCGTAGTTGACGGGAAACGGGAAAGGAGCTAAGGAGTAGGTAGAAACGAACAAAGACAAGAATAGTTGGCGACTCTTCTTCGCTCGGCGAGATCGTCGCGACAAGAATTCGCTCGCACATCGCAAGAAGCGAAAGACGCCGCGCGCACGCTCCTCTTCCAATGTGACACGATATTTGTGACAGGGGTGTTGGAGCTTGAAAAACGTGTATTTCGTATGGGGGGTTTTGTTTGCTCGCCGACTGCTTCCGAGCTGGTTCCCCTTCTCGTGGTTTTATTTACCTTAGTCATTTTTGTCCCTTTACGCAGCGTTTGCAATGTTTTCTTCAAAAAAAAAAAAAAAAAAAAACTGAGTTCTCCTGCTTTTGATATATTCTGTTCATCTTCGATTATTTTGATTAGCACCTCTAAATCTCTACGTGAGAACATTCTACTATCTATCTATCTATCTATCTATCTATCTATCTATCTATCTATCTATCTATCTATCTATCTATCTATCTATCTATCTATCTATCTATCTATCTATCTATCTATCTATCTATCTATCTATCTATCTATCTATCTATCTATCTATCTATCTATCTATCTATCTATCTATCTATCTATCTATCTATCTATCTATCTATCTATCTATCTATCTATCTATCTATCTATCTATCTATCTATCTATCTATCTATCTATCTATCCCAGCAAGCTCTCCGTGGCTACATGTGCGAAAAAACTTGCACAAAATAGTGTGGTTTGTGGCACTCGCCCGTATCGCAGGAGCTTCAAACGGTCTCTGTTTCTTCTAACGCAATGACGTTAAAGAGCTCGCTTCGCAGAAATTCTGGCGTCGGCGGTGGCGTCGTTCGCTGGGAGCGAGAAATCCTCATCGTATGAGTGACCGAAAAACCGTGAACGATGCAAATAAAATAAAAAATCCTTAAGCATAGCGGGATCCAAACCAGGGTTGTTTGGGACCAAGTTAGACTCGAACCCGGATCGTTTGCGTGGCAAGTAGATGTTCTACCACACGGCCATGCCTCTTTTTTTTTCTTATTGCCTTGCATATCAAGACTGTTCACATTTTACATATTTACATATTGGTCAAAATACAAGTGCGTCACAAAATACAAAATGCACCAACAGAATTTTTTGGGGTACCGTGAGCTCTCAGCTGATTATTGATGAATACTTTGGCATTCGTAACAATTGCTCAATGCGCCCAGTTCAGTCAGGTACATCCTCTTGGCCCTTCAGAAGTTCAAGAAAATGGCACACAGATTCGCAAAAATATTGGCGCACAGATGGTATTTCTACATTCGCGTTTTCAAAGGCACGTCGGATTTTCCATATACTGTGCAGGCCCAGAAGCATGATTAGTTCATAAGGTACACCTGCCTCGTTTTTAACCGAAATAGAACGGATGCCGTGTGGACTTAACGATAATTCTTTTTTCAAGGTTCTTTGCAATCTGTCCCAGAAAGAGACCCCGCTCCAGCAATCTATAAACACGTGTTCACTCGTTTCCGGTTTACTACACAAGTGGCAATGTGTGCTCCATGACACGAATATTCCCCTATCCTGCAACTACGTTTTAACTGGTGTGGTATATACCAGTATGTAATTTAAAGAAAAAAGCTTTGACCCCTAGTGCTTCGAGCATTCTTTTAACACGTTTCAGAACATCCTGTCCTGGGCCTGCACAATATAACTGACGGTACAATGGTACAGGCAGTAAAACATCGGCAAGATCTTTGTATCTGGCTGAAGTACCACGTCAAAAAATTGCACATGGCCACGCCTTTGCTTGTGCGAACAGTGAAAAGAACTTCCTCTGCTTGGAAATGCGGGGAAAAAGTAGCTTTAAGGCTTCATAAATACGCGTCCTGTATACATTCTTCACAATGCAACATGAAATATTGCAGTAATAATGCGGGGTACAAGCGTCTATTGCTAAAGGGCGTCAGAATATGTGATTATCATAATGGCTCCGTAGTTGAAAGCCGGTACCACACTACAAAAGGGACACACGATACTGCGCGTATTCCCCTAAGGCCACTAGTGAGTGCATAGCAGATTATAAAAGGTTTCATGAGCTAAGTGCTTGAAATACGCACTAGGAACAAGATGTCGCTATTTCATTCAACCTACTAAAGGGAGAGCTTTAGGGTGTCCTAATGTTGTTTGTTTTTTCCTCCTTGACGCCCAGGAGCACTCTTCACCGACGATCAGCGCTCGTCGGCGATGGAGCTGGCCTTCAAGTACGCCGTGATCCGCATCAACAAGGACCGCAATCTGCTGCCCAACATCACGCTCAACTTCGACATCCAGCACATACCGAAGGGAAACAGCTTCCGAGCGGCCAAGATGGGTGAGTCACTGAGCACGCACTTGCCTCTGTCGAGAATCCGGAAGAGACAGTCCTGTGGCGTTCGGTGTCGACGCTGTTGCAGTGTGAAGGTCAAAAGGAACACGCTTTCGCAATAATCGTATCATTTTCGCGCAGAGAAGTGCATGGGGTACGATGCGGGAAGGCCCGAGCTTCTCGGCAGACGAGTTTTTCTCCGAGCTTGTTCAGCAGTGGCCTGCGCATGAAAACAGTGCGTGATAGCAGCGTTGATAAAAATTGCAACAAGAACGCGCGTGGCGTTGGAAACGCATGTGGGACATTTGCGGCGATTATCGAAGAGACACCGTGTGTGAACACGTCAGCGTTGCGACTCAGTCAACATTTTAACGGTGCAGCGACGTAAGCGTGATGGCCGCGCTGTCTTTTTGCCAATTCAACACGCGCCTCCCACGGGCGTGTTCGTGGGCGGTTGTCCTTTTTCGGACTGGTTCTTTCCCTCCACCTGGAGCACGGAAATTTCCACTCTAGAAGGCACCAAGGGTGCACACGCAGCACTCTTGAGCTGCTCATTTCTCTCCTATCGAATATTGCATATAAGGACAGGTGGCCACTAGGGGCGCTCGCATAATGGCGGCAACGCGGTGGTGATTGGCAACGTCGTGAGCGCGGCGAAACTGAATGCGAAACGTCGTAGCCGCGTGGTGATAGCACGCTTACTTCTGCGTGCGTGTGTGCATAGTCTGCGCGATAAAGCTGATAGATTAATCGTGCCGCTCGACGTGAGTATTGCCCCTCGGCAAAAGCAAACGTGGTGGGCGTACCCGATCTCCGCCGCGGGCATCTGTCGATCAATGTGATTGACGCGTGAACTCGGATACAAACACGTTGAGAAGGCCCGAGTTCATCTTGGGACTGTGATGGGGCCGGTGTGACTGTCAAACGTTTGATGCAGCGAACGCTAAGCTTTAGCTTCTTTGCATATAAAATGATTTGGTGAGCTTAGACTACTCGTGCAAGGGTGGAGCCATAGAGGAGATTATGATAACATAGCTTTTTGCAGCTTTTTAAGTTCGTCGTCTACTCATGTGCGTGATCGGCTTCGAAGTGAAGACCGCTAGAGCTCTGTCTCAAGTTTGATTGAACTACTTGACTGAGGCTTAATTACCAATAAACTGAGCTGTCTTGAATTGTTGATAAGGCTTCAAATAAATTACAGTTATCTCGGACGCAATTAGCAAACCAATAAGCAGTATGAAGCTAATAAACGTAATCCTGACTAGCAGGACACTTATTGTCACAATATTAGTAAAGGTTAATTACCATGGTTTACTTAGCGTGCTCATAAACAATGTCTCGTTAATTAGCATAGTTTAGTTAGCTCATTATCTAGCATGTATTGGTTATCCCGGTTCTAGCTTTACATGGCTTCATCAGCATGGTCTTCTTAAGATGTGGTGTAATTACCTGGGGCTTATCTTGACTTGGCGTAATTAGCTTGCTCATAGCATGTCCTGACCTAACTAGCTAAGTATATACCATTCAGCCAAATAGCTAATTAGCCGGCCACACCTGCTCGGGTGCTAGCAGCTGATGACAACAAAGACGACGCACTGAGCAGAGCGCTTGAATGTACACGCTGACACGGGGCCTCGATAGAATGTACAGACCGAAACGTGGCCTCGGATTTAGCTGCCGTTGCGATGTTGTAAGACGCTTTGCCAGTAGTGATCTCAGAGGCCACCATGCTCATTATTCTAAAACAGACTTAGTGCGAGCATCACAAGCTTTAAAATTAATTTACACCCCTGCATCTAAAACGTACCATCACGAAAAGTTTCTGACACCTTTAGTGGATGGGTGTACATCTGCCCTCTGTGGAACGACAAACAAATGAAATAAGATGCCTCTGGTTTGAAAACACCACCCAACTTAGTCGACCGTCCTTGAAGTGATGACTGGTACCCTTGTAACCAATGAAACGCAGCGTGCTGAGGGTTGATTTGACATTTTCGTCCTGTTGGCTCATTCATAAGGGGGTGTAACCAAAGCTCGGGAATATCCCGAGTATCACGAAACTCAGCCGATCCTTCACAGAGCCCCCGTATAGCTTACTTTGTTACACTGGTTCCGACGCGATGTTAACTTAACAAAGAATTTTTCTAAGCTGTGCCTGACCCGTTAATAGCAGTAGGAGCAACGGCACCTTAAGAAGCTTGGTTGGTATGAGTCGATTAGTTGTTGTCTTGTCACTCACTGGCATTGAATACTTAAAGGGACCCCCCACCTGTGCTTTTTTTTTATGTCATTAAGTAGTGAAAATGTTTAGAAGAAGTGGTGTGTTTGGAAACTATTTTGAGTACTTCGTACTCAGCTAATGTCGTCCCGCTAAAAATCAACCCCCAAGTGAAGGGAGCGTTATTCTGGCATGCCAAACGAGTGTGAACGATTCTGAGTACTTGGTACTCTGCCATCAGAGAGCGTAAAGCCGTCTCGTGATAGACATCGTGCACTCCCTATAAAGGTCGCAGGTTTATGCCTGCCAGTGGCATGACTTTTCATACCTTTAGCGTTTTTCCGTCTATATCACGATTGCTACAATACACACAAAACTGCACATTTAACGTTCCTTTTACCTCCCCCGGCTTCATTAATGACTGATTTATATTAGGTAACGCATAAGTAGCCCGAAATTCTATACACGTGCTACACATGCGACTAAACAATTAGCTGGAGCACGTATCTGATTTCGAGTGGAATTTCGTGTTTTGAACGGCAGTGGTATTGATATCTGTAACAATCCGCGCATCCGATTTCTGTCGTTAACAGGAGTCGGTGTGCGACAACTGGACGTTGCCCGGCACCGGCACGCAGTTAGAGCCGCTCTCCGCGTAGCTATAGACGCGATCGCCGATGAACTTGATATCGTGACGTCACAGCGTTCGCCATTGTCACGCTAGTAGCGCACTCGAAGAAGCTGTGACGTGCGTCGTTTATGTCCTCGGTCTCCGCTGCTCCTTTGCTCGCAAGGATTCTACACCAAGACAGCTTCGCGCGTTACACGTGCCGCATTTCGACGGCAGTCCGCGTTCTTTGGGGTGACGTTAAGCCTACTTCCACCCATTCTGTCGGCATTCAAGCAGCAGTTATATACCTGTCACACAGCTAGATGGTTCTCGTGACAGGCAGCGAAAGACAGTGGGAGTGTCGAGTGAGTGAGGATGTAGTTCTGTCGAGGTCCTAAGCGCGTGGTCTCACACTTAGCGGACGGCTTCGCGAGCGCTAAGCGAAGGTGCGCGTTCATCCGAAAGTGAATTGCGCAGTACTAACCGGCCGGGGTCGAGAGATTAACGTGCGACATTCCACCTCGAGCGAGCTCACCCTGACAGGGCGAATTCCTGACATTGCCGGCGTATCAGAGCCCCGGCGCAAGGCCATAATGAGGGCGCGCCTTCGGCGCTTTCTTGTGTGCTTGTGTTGTATTGTAGAAAGAGTTTTCTTTGACGTCATTTTTGTTTTGTACGTTCACATACGGGTCCCAACCTTATTGCGTAAACCGTGACACCATTGCTTGCCTGTCTTTTTAGTGTTTCTTTCGTAATTTCAGTTTGCATCACAGCGCGATTAAGAAACCACTCTTGTACTGTCGTGTCATGGTACACACGAATGATGCTAAGCTTTTATCAGTTTGACTTTATACGAATTGAAAGATAAAGCAGAAAAAAACATAAAAACAGAGCTTCAATGAAGGCATGTGTATTGATTGACTATTTACCGTGAAGTAACTTGACCCGCAGAAAATTTGCGGTGAAAATATAATGGCTTGATCACAATTTATGAAGCTTCATATCTTACGGAGAAACAAAAAGAAATTCCTGAATTCAAATCTTCAAGACCAATGAAATCGTAAAAAAATGTAAACAATTTGCAGTAAGTCTTGCAAAGCTTAAGGCACAGCTACGCACGAGTCCGTTGCCGCTCGTACTTCCCGTCGACCGACACGTCTACCGTAGGGCCGTTCCACGCACTTCCCGCACAGTCTCAATGGTCGTGCCGAGAGCACTGCCGCGCGCAAGCGGCGGACAAATAAGCCAATTGGCGACGCTCTTTCACCTTCCGCAGCGTCGCCAATTGGCTTATTTGTCCCCCGCTTGCGTGCGGTAAGGGTCCCGGCACGTGCATTGCGGCTGTGCGGGAAGCGCGTGGAACGGCCCTTGCAGATGCGCTGGTTCCTCATCTGGTAGTATACGCAACCAGGCTATAGAGGAGGTTGTTCTCGATGTGTCCGTCCGTGGTCGTGGCTTAGCGTCCAAGCATTGAGTGGCTGGCCAGGTAATGAGGTATCTCGTTGCTAGACGACGCGATGCTTGCTTTCTCTTTCTTTTTTCTGTCTTTCTCTATTCATCTTGCCCTCTTTTGTTGGTGTTCCCTCCGTTTCTCTTTCTTTTTCACTCTGTATCTTTTTTTTTCGACTTATCCCTGTGTTTCTGCTCTGTGGTAAGAAGATGGCGAGCTGGGCCAGTCGGTTTACGTTCATTTCGAAAAGTTTTGTTCAGCGCACCAAAACGTCGACAAGATGAAGACAGGACAAAACAGCGCTGTCCTGTTTACTTTATCTTGTCCAAGTTCGACTGTGTTTAACAAAATTTTTCAAAACGAGTTGTTTTACGCTTTACTCTCTGCAATTCTCCTTCCCCGCCTCATCATCACAACTTCTCTTCGCACTCAATTCCCTTTCTCACCCACTTGCCACACTGTCTATGTAGAGGTAGATCCCAAACTTGTGTCTCAGACCCACGCTGGCGGAATGGCCAAGAATCGGGTAGCGACTGTACAAGTCTACGCTATGCTCTGAGAGCGTGCTTCAATTTGGTGCCGTTTTATTCATGTCCTTTACTGACCATTCTAATACTCATCTTGGTAAATGCCATAAAAGAGAAGAAAAAAATATCTGAGTGAATGAAACGCTCGCCTTCAGATTGTGGGTATGTTGGTTCAAATCCTGCATCGTGAAGACATTTTTT